TAAAAAATCGAGGGTGGTCGCTTTTGCTTATGCGATTTAAATGTTTTTCCGTCATTCCAATCATAGCTGGCATAAAACCAGTACCAAGGTAAACTTCTTTCTATTAGATACAATGAATTTTGATTTAAATATATTGAATGCATTACTTACGCCTTTACAAGTTACAAACACGCAATAAACAGTTTACTAACGGAAAATAGTTGATTTGTCAGTTTTGACTCGCCTTTTTCAACTAGTAAAAAGTTTGTTTTATCCACCAGTCTAGTATTTTCTCTGAGAAGTCAGAGAAAATACTAGACCATAGTTTGGGATAGTTTTGGCCTAGTCCGATATTTTGCCTTTTTCAAAAATTTTGGTATTGCTAGTACCTGTTAGATGCTTTCATTCCACTGTCCGATGAATTCAGTTCCTCTGTCGCCACCATCCTTTTTTGGATAGGTAAAAGTAGTAGTTTTGACTACACGTTCCATTGCGGCTGTGGGTGTTGTTTTAATAGTATCGATTCTTTGGATTTTCTGTAGAATCCTCTCCGCTTTTCTTTGTTCTATTTTTGTCCACCATAAGTAACTTGCATAAGCGACCATGGGTCTTACATCGTAAAATGTGACCATAGGGTCATTTTACAATTTATTCTCCAAGTTCTTCCTCAGAGGTTTTGGCAGTCTTTGGCATAACCATTAGGCTTTTAATGCGCATCGCAGGTTCTCTTGAGGTGAGCATTCCATGTTAACCTTTGGTCGAAAACTAGTTAAACTGACTATAAAAACTTTTAAGTGGTCAAAACTAAAGGAGTCCTTACTCAATACGACGTTTTGGACTTTGCGCAGAAATCTGAAACACATAAACATAAAACGTTAACTTGAAATATATTGTTTCAATTGTTTAAAACAGTTTTTTCTTTAGAGTTTGTATAAATTAATCTTTAAGTAAGGTATTGGTTGAAATAAAAAAGACAGTGTCACAGCGGGATTCGAACCCACGACCTTCGGCTAAATACGCCGCTGCTCTACCACTTCAGCTATCGTGACTTCGTGTTTGTATAAATTCGTTGAGAAGGAGCAATAGAAGAGCTTAAAACCGGACCAAAAATAAAAATGTTAAACATTCAGAGTTCATCAAGGATGTTATTTTAATAAACCTCATCAGACAACAATAAACGGCTGGAAAACTCAAAAAAATACCCAACAGCATACACTATATTATAGCTAAAAAAAAAAAAAACTGTAAATTTCATAAACACTTTCTAAAGTGTACTATATAAAGCGTTATTGATGAAAAGCGTTAAGAATGTACTTAATTGATGAATAATTATGGTTGGGACTTAAACGAGAATCGAAGAATTTGATGAATTTGTGTTTCAATTGTTCTTGATTGAAAAGGGTATTTTTCTCTTTTTTCCCCCCACTGCCCTAGATAATAATACATAATTAACTATCAACTATGTGCAACACAGACAACGCAAATAGCTTCAGCATAGTTGTAGCCCACTAGCAATATGCCGGCGGCATAACCGAAAGCATATAGTAAGCGTACTTTCTCGTCCGTAACTGGGCTATCTAATTTTTTCCTGCTAATGTGGAAAGAAGAAAACTATTTATAGATTTATTGAAAATGGTAACTTGGAATGCGTACATTCGTGTGAAACGGAGCTGATTTCTTTGCGGTGAACCAATAATTATGTACCAAAAATTGTGAAGTTTTGTTTTGGTGTTCTGAAGTTTTGCTTTGTTGTTCTGAGTGCCCAGTAGATCTAAACTGCTCAAAAATGAATACGGATATTGCCAATTTTGTAGTATTTCCTTGACCTAGCATTTTTATTTTAGACTTATTTGGCTTTTGTGGGCTGTATATTGAAGTGCTCAAGGGGATGAGGTCTGGAGACAATGGAGGAATGGACGAAGGGAAATATCCAGGTTTTCTAAACCATTAACATCTCTGCCTCTATGAGGTCTGTCATCGTCATCCAGAAATCCCTGCCCTGGTTTGAGGGAATGAATTCTTCGATCATTTCTAGGACATAACGGATTGCGGTGAAGTTGCCTTCAACAAAATGGAGTCCAGTTAGCCCTCCAGTGTAAATCCCAACCCATTACACCGCCTCTTCCAAACTGCACTGAAGGGAGCACGGGCATGGTACGCATCGGTAGACTCTTCGGCGCCTGCTATCACTATACAGACAAAAACGCGACTCATCAGTAAACATAACAGCATTCCAATTGTTGTTCTCTTCTTGATGCTCGCTGCACCATATTCTCCTGAGTTGCAGATGGCGGGCTGTTGCTGTAGGTCATCTCAAAGTGGCATACGATGTGAGGTCAACTTCTCACGATAAAGGCCTTGCCAATCTTGCACTTCATTAGAAACACTATGGAAACGTTTCCGTCTTGCAGCAATGACAATATTTCTGTCCTCCCTTAGCTGAGATCCACTACCAGCCCTGCTATTGGTAATCCCAGTCTCTCGGAATCGCGCTAAAGCCCGGGAGATCATGCTCGGGAGACGCCAACTGCCTCTGTGGTATCTGCTTGCCGGTGACCTCGATTACTCATTCTCACAATAATATTGCGAACTTCTTGTTCAAGATGTTGTCGTTCCATGGCTAAAGAGAATATAACTGTCTTAACATGGAGAAATGACGAGAAAAGGTGTTTGTTTACAAAATGAGTAATCTTCATGTTTGCAGTTTTTCAGCAGAGGTCATATAAACCCTCAGAGTGCCGGTGTTTTTTGAAAAAAGTTTGTAAGTATCTCGGATTCGAATGCAGGGCCGCTGGATTCGAACCCGAAACCTTTACCTTACAGTGATGGCCATGTCAATGCCTAACCCGTTGCGGCCACCGACACGCCCCGATTTTAGACTTTATATGGCACCATGGAAAGAAGTCGAAAGGTTCACTAACTAATTTCAAATTCCCACAAGATTCGAAGTTGTTATGGTGAGTAGTTGGCCGCAAGGGATGGTCTTTTTTAAATTTATCTTTCACCCCGCGAAAAATTAAACCACCGTAATGCCTACATGTGAACGTCAAGTGGTAGGCCTGATAAACCTGTAATTTGGTCGTTAACGGTCATTTTGTTCTTCCTATCACAAAAATCACCCGGACACACTGAAGATGTACATAACACGCCGAAACGCGTCTGACAGACCAACCCAGAAAGTACAGGCAGACCAAAACGATCGGTAATGACCAAATTTTCAAATTTCAATTCAGACCAAAAGTCCAAAAAAGGACCTTTACCTTACAGTGATGGCCATGTCAACGCCCAAACCGTTGCGGCCACCGACGCCCCCCATATTTGTATTCTTAAGTAAATCCTTTATTAAAAATGAACATTAACATTTGTTTGTTTTTGGTTTGTATTTTCTATTTTGTTTTATCCGACTAACAAGAATATATGGGTTAATTTATTAAAATTAATGGAGCAATATTAAATTACCAATTATTACAAATATCCCTATTCATTTTTGAGCAATTTACTTTGGTTTACAATCGCACGTACCATACTCACCCGCAAAGCACGCAATTTGACACACACACACACACACACACACACACACACACACACACACACACACACACACACACAGAGTGTAGACGGAAATTGAATACTTTATCGAATCGATTCTTGTGCTAAGAAGGATAAAGTAAGATTTGATTAATCCAAATCGAAATCGCTGCACATATCCCGAAAAAGCAGACTAGAGACATTTTGTTTAAATTATTATATTTATTCTACATGCTTCATACAAAATATTACATGTAATACAATAACCATAAATATAAAATATATAAAATGTATATTGGGATATCAGATTCATATTATGGCGAAAAGACAATTACTGAAACTGTTAAATAATAATAAATAACGTTAATAAGTAGAAACTAATTAAAAACTAAATACCCAAATAACTTAACATTTAACTATTGTTTATTAACATATTTAACTATTACATTAAAATCTATTGCTTTAATGAATGTGTCAAAATGTTCATAATATTCTCTCTTCAAGAGCTCCTTCTCATCATGTGGCCACTTCTTGTCTTGCAGTAGGCACTTTCGTATCCAAACACTACGCAGTGGTTCTATTAGTGGGCACTCATATATTAGGTGTTTAATGCTTTGTTCTACTGGGAAATTAGGCAGACATGAGCATGATGAAGATTCTCTTAGATGAAAGCGGAAAAAATAGCTGTTGTTTGGGCCGTGTTCGGTTAAGATGTGGGTTAGTGGTGCGGATAGTTTGATGTGCGGCTGGAATCTATCGGCAACTTTGGTAAAGAATTTTCTTGTCTGCCTTCCAATATTTGTATTAGACCAAGCATTTTCCCAGGCTCTCTTCGAAAAGTTTATTTATAATTGATGACTTTGGAAGTTTGGTGTATGCCAAATTCATACTCTCGTCAGTAGATGCTAATTTGGCCAGTCTGCCAGCTTCTTCATTGCCCTCTATTCCGCAATGAGCCTTAACATTGTACATTAACATTCTGTTTGACTAGAGTTTGAATCATTTTCCTTATTTGCTCAGGCAAAAAGCCATGATTATTATAATTAACATATTTACATGTGAACATGAAATACTTAGAGGTCATACTTGATACGAAAATGAGCTGGGACGATCAAGTGGATTATATATACAATAAGAGGTAGCAAATAGTAAACATTCTGTCTTGAGCGGACTTGGGAATTGCATATAGTAAGTGCAATTAATGAGCTGGGCCTTCCTACTTTCCCTTCCAACTACCTAGGGTTATTTACACAATTTATCGTAGTAGGGACGTGACTTATTTACGGTGAGAAATTCCTATCGTGTTTGCAAAATTCGCAGGGCCGTGCTTTTCCCGAGTTATCTTTTGTCCCACACGCATTAAGTCCGGAAGTGAAAACGATCTCCTTACAACAAATCCGACCGGGATTAAATCCAAGAGATCGAAAAGAGAATAAATAACTGTCTGAGATGCGTCAGTCGATTCCGGGGGGTTTCCAATCGTTTGCGTGTTTCTTAGGCAATTCTTCGGCATCCTTGGTGGGAGACGCTAAGAGTGGGACAGACAACGATTTCAATGCAGTTCTGTTCCGAGATCCAAACCGGACGACCACTACATTTTGTAAGTTCGAGAAATATATTTTTTTTAATTTTAATATTAAATTAGTTCATTAATAAACGGGAATATCTTTTCACAACGCGAACCTGTCTGATTTTTATTTTTTTCTTCGTAATTATTGAAATTGAACACACCTTTGAGCATTACACTTTTGTTTAAAATAATAATAATATTTTTATGTGATCGTAAATATATTTTTATTTGATTACGTACTTTTTATTAAAATAAAACTGTCTTTCCTACAGTTAAAAGGATGAGACAAAATTCTGTTTTTCTACCTTGCAGTTACAAAATAATGTCATGAAACTTTGCTCTTTTTGTGTTTACATCATGGTTAAGAACTGAAATTTAACCGTTATAATTATTTTTATTTATTGATTTACACAGATCTAAAAGAAAATCGACAATTTACAACAACCGTTAGTAATACCGATTTAAACCTCCCAATATCCTAAAATTCCAATAAAATAATATTTTATGCTAATGACATATCACAATTGATAAGGAATTCGTGTTAAATTTGCTAATGTAAGTTGTTGGTTTTTTTCAATAATATGTACATATGTTGTACGCTGTTTATTATAACACTTTAACTTGAGCACGTACTCTTCAAAACAAAATTTTCTTTTTAATGCTTTGAGTGTGATTACATCTTCAAGATAGTATTGATAGAGGGTGTCAAGGCTAACGAGATGCAGCCGATTTTCTTCTTGATTATCTGTGATAGAATAAAAAGTTAAAATTGTAACCATCCTACAATTTTTACTTTTTTTCAAAACTCATTACATTTTATTTAAACCTTGAATTATAGAGAACAGCGCAAATAAATTTTAAATTTTAAATTGGAATGCCTACTCTGATTTTGTTCTTTTTTCGAAAAGTACGCCATTGTTTAAGAAAAATGAGCTTCGTTTTAAGAAAATCGATCTATTTGTTTAGAAATTATGATTTTATTTTAAATTAAGGCTAACCTTTTATTAGAAGATGAGTAACTTGGTAAAATAGACAATTTCATTTTGATCTATTGACCGACTTATAAACTAACCGTATTTCCCAATGTTCGTGGTTTGGAAACTATTTGTTGATTGACCTTTGGATACTTTTCTGTTTGGAAGTGAGTCAATTTGCCTTTCATTTTCGTTATTTGTAATTTTAATTAATTACGCTTTTAACTTAAGTTCTAGGTTGAGATGAAAATGCAAGTGTCACGAGCTGGATTCGAACAAACGAAGCCACTTGCCTTTTCATCCAGGTAAGACTTTAGATTAAACGTATAATTAATTAAAATTATAATTAATTAATACTGTCAACTATAACTATTAAATGTACATTTGGGTTTTTTTTTTAAAGTAACACTCTCACGAACATTGGGGAGTACGCAAAAAATTTAAAATTTCAATTTTTCATTATAATATAATATTGCGATCCAAATCATTGTGATATATTAAGTTTAAATTTATTTAGATATCCGTAATTTTATATAATTATTATTAGGCCATTTTAATGGACAATCAGTATTTTTCATTACGGATTTGGTTTTTGGCGGCTTTTTTTGGGAATGGGTCTTTTCAGTTTTAGAAATTAATAGACTAAAAAATATCGGTGGCATGAGAATACAACCTCAACCGAAAATAATTAATAAATTATTTGTAAAAATAGTTTATATATATTTTTTTATGTTCCTGGTGCAGGATTTTTTTGCATAATTGAACATATATTTTATGATTATTGAGAAATCGTGAGATGCGGTCTGGTGTGATGTAGGTTTCAGAAAAACATTTTCTTTATCGAGCCAACGTTTCGATCTTTATTGAGATCATCTTCAGGGCTCAAAGTGTTTGTCTTCTGTGTAACTGTGCCATTCTTGCGTATCGTGTTGAGAGTGCCGACACGCAAGAATGGCACAATTACACAGAAGACAAACACTTTGAGCCCGGAAGATGATCTCAATAAAGATCGAAACGTTGGCTCGATAAAGAAAATGTTTTTCTGAAACCTACATCACACCAGATCGCATCTCACGATTTCTGAATAATTATCGATTAACGGTCACTAATCACCACACATATATTTTATGAACGTTCAGTCTTTATGACCACTTTCAACTTGGAATCAATGATGATGTTGAAGATGAATAGGCTAGGGGTTTCTCCCCTATATATATAATATTTTTGATTAGTCTATGCAGATTTTTTTCTCGATGAAATGTATATATATTATTCTTATTTGGTTACTGGGCACTATATGCCCTCCTTGGTTTTTAGCTAATCTTCAGCTGATCACGTTTGTTTCTCTCATAAATGTTAGAATGGAACAAGTTGGTAAATCGGGCAAATAGTCGAATTAACCACATTAACACAAATATTCCACCAGAGAGATTGTTTTCAACAGAGAAAGGCGTTGACTTTGAAAAGCGAAGGCCGTGAAACAACTGGGCCAAAGCCCTGCCGTTCTCCTCGTTCTTCCTGTGTTTAATTTCAATTTAATTCAACACGTTATGCAAACGTTTCTGATAACGCCTAATATCAATGGAACTAAATCTTTACAACCGGGAATAAATTTTCAAGGCGATAAAGATATATCTATTAGAAAGGGGAAAAATCCAAGGTTACCCAGTAAGACTATCCCGTTTACGTTTTGGCAAATTTTCAAATATTTCAATGAGCAAAATTGGTTAAAAAATAAGCATTGCAATATGTATTTTTATTATTAAACTACCAGGTTTTGATGGTGTGGTTGGTTGCGAAAAGGTGAATTCATGTTGAACTGATCGACACTGAGACACCGATTGGCCGGTTCTCTCTGGTTCTATGCCCGTTCCTCACTGAAGATGCCTTGAAGAAATTGAAATTTATTTTTATTTTTATTTACAAAATATATACAGTATTTACAAAGAAATTAAAAGACTGGCTTCAGGCTTCCTGCCTATATACCTGATCTGAAGTAAAAAAGAACTAATTTAAACATATCATATATAAACTAACATTAACACAGAGGGAAAAAAAACCTTTACGTTATATAGTTAATTCACAGCAAAATGTGCTTCACTCTTTTGTACTTATATTTTTTGTAAAGTGTCTGCAAGGAGGCAGCTTCATAGTTAACAATAGTTATTCAGATATCGTGAGATGCGGTCGGGTGTGATGTAGGTTTCAGAAAAACATTTTCCCCCTGAGCCCTGAAGATGATCTCAATAAAAGAACGAAACGTTGGCACGATAAAGAAAATGTTTTTTTGAAACCTACATCACACCCGACCGCATCTCACGATATCTGAATAACTATCGATTAACGGTCACTAGTCTCTATACATAGTTAACAATATTTCTAATATTAGTGTATTCACTAAGTACACAAGCTTTGCAAAATTTTGATGTTATACTGTGTACTTGTGTAGAGACTAGCCACCTCCAATACTGAATGTATGTAGTCTATTGGCGTCCACCTTTAAAAGGAACCAATTTTCAAGCATTTGTTCTGCACAACCTGCAACTTCCTGTAGTTGGTGATACATGTATTAGACAGGAGCCGCATACAACAGCATGGGTCGAATATACAAATAATAAATTAACCTTTAATTAAATATACTCAGATCAGAGTGTCTATTTAACAACGGAAACAGATTACAGATCAGAGCCACTCCTCTATCGCATACGTGTTGATGTGCTTGGTGAACGTGAGCTTTGAGTCCAGCATCAAGCCAAGATACTTCACTTCTTTTTTCCATGGAATACACCTTCCATTTATTGTCACAAAACAATCAACATTAGGCCTTCTGCGAGTGAACAGAATCACCTCTGTTTTTGACTCATTGGGTGATCCGCCACCTGTAAAAGTAATTAAATGTTTCTCAAGGGCTACTGAGAGATGCTTAGCTATTGTATCTACCCTGAAATACGAGATCATAAAAGCGGTGTTATCAGCATATAGGGCTCACTTTGGCTTAACTTTTAGTTCGGTTATACCATTAATAAATAAATTGAACAATATGGGCCCAAGGACAGAGCCTTGGGGTACATTAGCAGCAATTGGCCGAAAGTCAGTGCTTTCGTCGTTAAGCGAGACACAAAATTTCCTATCTTCCAGATAACTCCTTATTAAATAAACGATGTATTTGGGAAAGTTATAACTGATTAACTTAAAGACAAGCCCATTGTGCCACACGCAGTCGAACGCTTTTTCAACATCAACAGTGCCATTCCAGTGTGCTTGTTCAAATTAAAATTGTGCTCAATAATATTTGTGACCCTCGCCAATTGTGTTGTGGTGCTGTGATGTGACCTGAACCCAAACTGTTCAGCTGCCAGTAGGTTCTTCTCTTCAATAAACATTCTTGAAGAAAAGATCCAGTAAAGAGATCAATATCGATTAGTTTTCGACAATGAAATAGAGAGAACGTCGAAAAAATTAATCTTTCAGATTGGCTTTAGTCTATGAGATCATTGATTGTGCTAAAATTAATTAATTATGTAATTTATTCATTATGAAAAAATGTTTCTACTATAATTTATTTCTTGTCTCATGCGATTACAAGCCTAATATAAATATTTTTATCCAAACTTATTAAGAACTTATTTTTCTTTGTAGACCCAGCCATGGATCACAAAAATTTCAAGGAGTTCGCCGGTGCGATGGCGGAATACATAGCCAACTACTTGGAAAACATAAGAGACAGGTGGGAATTATGTCCAACCAATCCGTGATAATAAGAAAAGATTTGTTTTGTCAAAATTTTTTTGTAAATTTTCAGGAGAGTGTTGCCGACCGTCGAGCCCGGCTATCTGAGACCTCTCATCCCGGCCGAAGCTCCGGAAACTCCAGAAAAATGGACGGATGTCATGAAAGACATCGAAAGGGTCATCATGCCGGGGGTAAAGTGAATTATTTATTAAGTCTTTTTCTTTCTTCCTGATCCGACTAAGAGACTCCTCAGAACGTCTTCTTGAAGTGACGTTCGTTGAACTTGTCCCAGAGCCAAAGTTCATCAGGGGCAACCTGAAGTGTCCACATAACGGGTGCTTGAATTAGAGACTTGAATTAAGCTTGAATTTAAATCTTTTTATAGATTGGTCGTTTCCGATCATTTTGGTCTGCGAGACACAATTTTAATGCTAATATTAATTAACTAAGTGAAAAAGACAAAATATTTTGGAAAGTCAGAAGATAAATTAAAGAATTGCTTTTTATGCATAAATTTTTATGTCAATCGTAATGATTATATAATTGACTAAAGTTTATTCGTCTCCGTTAACTCTAAAAGATTTTTCCAAATAATCCAGTGTGAATCAGCACGGAATTGCATGAATCGTTGAAGGGATGTTGGACTGGCATACTGGTATAACAGATGCGTATTTGAGAAAATTCAAAGTAACAAATTATCATTTGTCAAATATCCACATTCTGTCGAACTTAGACGAAAAATTTGATTTCAGGTTACCCACTGGCATTCGCCCAAATTCCACGCTTATTTTCCTACTGCCAACTCTTATCCTGCGATAGTCGCGGACATGCTGAGCGACGCCATCGCCTGCATCGGTTTCTCTTGGGTGAGTAATTAAAAAAATTGATAAATAAAAATTATTCATATGAGAAAAAAACAAACAGAAAAAGGCAAGAAAGGGCCTTGATGTTGAAATTCTGCAAATGAAATCGTCGACGCGTGATGTCGAAGTTGGCGAAAGTTGGACGATTCTTTGATAAGATTGGCCGGCAAATTATGTCGGGGCTATCAACGCTGACAATGCTCGCTAACAATGGGACGCAATCACCGTGTTGCAAAACTTAACCTTATACAAATTTATATCTTTCACAAATCGACACGGAGTACTTTTTATGTACTTACATATTCCTTACTTTTGTAGATCGCATCCCCTGCGTGCACGGAGCTTGAAGTGGTCATGCTAGACTGGCTGGGAAAGTTGTTGGACCTTCCGAAAGAGTTCCTCGCCTGCTCTGGAGGAAAAGGTGGCGGAGTCATACAGGTAAAATAAAAATAAAAATGGAAGATTTAGTTTGATTGCTGGAGTGAATAAAGAGCCTTTCGCACTGGGTCCTGACGCCATGTATCTACTTTCAGACTCCATTGGCATTATGGTTTTTTAATTTTATGTCCTACGTTGAGCTATTATTTTCCCGAGAATGAAAACTCCCTTCTCCTTACATGTCAGTTGTTACAATAAGTACTGGGGATTCCACCTCTTCTTGGCAAAACCTATATAGGTGTATATACGTTATTCTCTGGCGTGATTCATGTGCTTATTGAGTCTTCAACTGGTTAACAGGCTTGCAAAAACCCAAAGTGTTTTCTTAATTGTTGTAGCAAGTCTGTTGGAAGTTTAGATGAGTCTGACGATGTCTTTTCCCTGTATTTGTATTTGGAAGTTTTTTTCATCAGGTGTCTTAACTTGATTTATATGGCAATATTTCCGTTTTTATGCTTATGGGAGTTTTCGAACCTTGTTAATTCACTGAGGAACACCCTGCTTAGTTTGTCAGCCCCTTCAAGACATCCTGTCCGGTGTGCCTTCCTTCCAGTTTAAAAAGTCCAATTCTTTCCCTTAACTCGGGTGAGGCCAGAGTGTAACTTGGCTATCAGAATAGTTGACCATGTTCTTGATTTGTACCACCAGCTTTTTGATCTTCCTGAAACTGTTTCTGCCAGAAAAACTGACAAAATGTTGATATAGTGTTTAAAAAGACTTTACTACTTACTGGACGAGACTTTCATCCAGTAAGTGAAATGTCACTCCGCGATCTGTTGACGCTTGGGTCTATACACCAGGGAGTTCTCCCAACCAGTTATGTGACTGGGCAGCTAGTATCGCCCTAAGCCAGATGCCCAGGAGATAGTTTGTTCACCTCTACAAGTCCCCTCTGTTTAATATACCAGCTTTCCATTCCGAGCACATGCTCTTGGTGTTCTAACTAACCGATCCTTCATGGCAATTCTTCTTGTGAGCTGCGCACCTTCTTCCATTACCCTTAGCGGTACCTCGTCAACAACCATTCATAATCCTTTAGACGTCTGCCGAATCGTTTCATAATTTTGATCTAGCTTCTTCGATTTTTGTTTCGTGGTAGGTTATTTTTAAGGAGACTGGTTATTGGCCCATCACTGCCGAATCATTCGCCCCCCCCCCCATCAAATCTATTCGTGCTACGCCGTGAGGGATGACAACTTAATGTAGGTAGCCATAGGGGCGGGTATTGTTCATGACATTTGTTTTCTATCTAATGTATTTGTGTGAGTGTTTCCTGTTTTGTGTTCTCACATGCTCAGAAACCCCCGGATCATAAGGCTCCGAATGATAGTTGGTTTGGTATATTTCCCTAAAAGATATGTGCAAATTTCACTAGTTATAATTACTGTTTTTTGGAGATATAGTGAACCTAGGTATAAATAATTACGTTGTTTCAGGATATATCAGGGCACAAAGAAAAGAAAAAACCTCTGCTCAGCATTACCAGTCATATACTGCACTAAAAACATTACATTAGTCTTTTTCCTAGATTTGACCCATAGAAAATATTGATTTATAAAAACCACTAGATTATATATCAAATTTAAAATGAGCTTTTTTATTTAGTCTCTATTTTTTGACAGGGGACAGCCAGCGAGGCTACTCTGGTCGCACTTTTGGGCGCTAAAGCAAGAGCGATCGCTCGAGCCAAGGAAGACCACCCGGACTGGTCCGACTACCAAATTATCTCCAAATTGGTAGCCTACGCTTCCGGTATTGACGGTGATAAAATAATAACCCAAATTTCCACTGAAACAGTCCGATTTGAACATTTTCAGAACAGGCACATTCTTCGGTGCAGAGGGCAGGCCTGCTCGGCGGAGTCCAGTTCAAGCTGCTGCCGACAGACGAAAGGTACAGGATGCAAGCAGCACCGCTCGTCGAAGCGGTCAGAAAAGACAGAGCCGAAGGGCTCATACCTTTCTTAGTAAGTTCGTTATAGGTGATATTTTCAAAAGTTATTGTACATGCCAACACTAAGAGGTTGAAAACCAAAGTAGTTAAGTACTTCCTATCCTCTGCTAAAGCTTGGTGCCATCTATATAGATTAATGTTTAAAGCAATATCGACTAAATATAAATAAACATCACAGTTATCGCTATTTTCTTGTCCTTTTCAGAAATTTTATTTGATTTTAATTTAATTCAACTTTTTGGACATACCAATAATTAGCAAGAGACACTTCCTGAGGTTGGTGCCCAATAGCAGGCCCTTCTAATAATTATACAAGGAAGTGCATTTTTCGACACACCATAGGAAAAAACAATGACCAACCTGTTTAAACGGCCTCTGGTGCTATTTTTTAATTAAAACGAGTTGCTTAGTAAGTATTGGCAAACCTATTTCAGAATATACTCCACTCAGGAGAAAGTTGCGTGGGTAAGGCAATATTACGGTGTAATTTGGTCATTACCGATCGCTTTGGTCTGCCTGTCCTTTCTGGGTCGGTCTGTCAGACGCGTTTCGGCATCTTCAGTGTGTCTGGGTGATTTTTGTGATAGGAAGAACAAAATGACCGTTAACGACCAAATTACCGGTTTATCAGGCCTACCACTCGAAGTTCACATGTAGGCATTGCAGTGGTTTAATTTTTCGCGGGGTGAAAGATAAATTTTAAAAAGACCATCTCTTGCGGCCAGCTCACCATAACAACTTCGAATCTTGTGGGAATGTGAAATTAGTGAACCTTTCGACTTCTTTTCATGGTGCCATATAAACTCTAAAATCGGGGCGTGTTGGTGGCCGCAACGATTTAGTCTTTGACACGGCGCGGTAAGGTGAAGGTCCCGGGTTCGAATCCAGCGGCCCTGCATTCGAACCCGACATACAAATGGGCTTTTTTCAAAAACACCGGCACTCCAAGGGTTCATATAACCTCGTAGTTGAAAATGAAACCTCGTAGCTGAAAGTCTAAAATCAAAACAATCCATCCGGTATGCAATACAGACATGTCGTGATGGTTTCATTTTGATGCTTGGTGGAGCTTGAAGATAAGCTTAAACTTCTAATGAATTGTTTTGTAAATTTTTTCTTGGGCTCCCCAAGGAGTGAGTACATCAACTTAGTGGTTATTCCCTTCCTACCGCAATACATCTTTTACTCTTCCTCTACCAGATATCTTCCCATTCTCCTCCCTACATACATGATCTCCTTAACTTCATATCCTCTATACACTCCCGTCAAACTAGCTCCCACCATTCTTACCTCTTCCCCCTAAACGCAGTCCTTATTTCCTCATTAGTGCCTCCAACCTATAGAATTTCCTTTCCCATTCAATCCGCCAAATTCTGTTATATAAACTCTTATCCTTACAACGTGGCTATGACGCTATGAATTTGTAAGATCGATATTGTCGTTGATCCTACATCGCTATTTTATTAACGAATTTTCCAGCGAGTATCTGCCTCGTTCGTCAGATTTTATCATTCATTTTTTTCAATACGATTTCCATTTCAGGTTGTAGCCACCCTGGGGACGACGAGTTGTTGCTCCTTCGATAATTTGGCCGATATCGGCGTCGCCAGCAAAGAAGAGGGTCTCTGGCTCCACGTGGACGCCGCTTACGCAGGTAAACTGATTACTTATTATTTAATTGGGCTTCAACTTATATTGGTCTTGATGTTAGGTTCAGCCTTCATATGTCCGGAATACCGCTATCTCATGGAAGGAATCGATTACGCCGATTCTTTCAACTTCAATCCTCACAAGTGGCTTCTAGTGAACTTCGACTGTTCCACCATGTGGTAAGTTCTGACACGAATGAAATGCTTACGAGATAATTGTATTTTTGTCTAGAGGTAAAACGTACTATATAGACAGGGAAACCATTCGCTAATAAAAGAAAAGTAATAAAATGTTAACAATTTTCTGCAGTTGTGATCTCTCTGGGGATTAAAATTCTATATGACAAGTACGATTTAAGAGAGAAGAAATTATGGGAATAGTTCTAAATATATTATTTTTATCTACTTATTATTATAAAAAAGTTAATTATGTTACAAAGTATATTAAGTTGGCAGCCTGATCATGATCAATCATCGTGCCCCATCCGTTGAAATGAATATCAAAAGCTGATAGTTCGTCTTAGTTCAATACATGTTTTTTTAAGCCCTTGCCATTTTTCCAAAATCTCTTTAAATCTTGATCTTCAGTACTTTTTTATTTTTCCTACGAATCAAAAATTATATTTGAATTCATACAAGCTTGATGATGACGATGATGAAAGGAGATTATGAAGTGGGGTTTATGTTCCCCAAGCCTTGCTTATGGATTTATTATACTTTACTAGTTCCTTAGTTTTTTAAGGAGTACTAGGTCATGTCGTTATTACAGTTCCTTTTCCAGGGTTTTCTTTGTACCACAGGTTATTGAGCTTCACATTCGAATTTCATATGGGTGGCTGTTTTCCTCCTCCTTGCATAATCTGCAAATGGGGTCATCATTGAATACACTCATGTCGTGTAGTTGTTTTTTCAGATGACTGTGATGTGTATGTGATATAGCGTGTCTCTTCTTCTTTTTTGTTGGTTCCAACCCTGAGTTTGGAAAACCGAAAACAAGATCCCAGAGGTTTTTTACAATCGGACCTGACAACAATTATTTCATTTATCGATCGGGCACCTTTTATATTTCATTTAAACCAAAGTAAATACGACACCAAATGTTTGTTAAATTTGAATCTTTAATTACAATTTATTTTCACATAAAATGACAATATATTTTATTTATTATTATTTTTAATTTAAAGATTCCTTTTATCCTATAACAAACCTATCTCAAATCTACAAACCTTAATTTTAAAATGGAATTTGATTCTCGTTTTATAGTTCCATAAAGAAAGATAAAGAAATTATTATTATTATTAAAATGTTGACCACCAAATTATAAAATACAATTAAAATATTAACACAAATTTTAAAATGAAATATTATTTCTTTTATTTTTCTGTATAAAAATATATACCCTTTTAAAACTAAATTACAATTATTATTTTTTTATTTTGACGTCAAAGTAATAAAAATTAACTCACTTGAATAGTGTGCACACCAAATTTTTCTTTTTACCAAAAATAGCTGTTTACCCACACAAGCCAGAAAGGGATTTGTTCTAGGACTTGAAAAAATAGCCCTTTCTTGGCCCCTACTCCTTTCACTGTTTGAGTGTGTGGAGGGGCATGGCGGTTCATTTAAATCTGAACGTGACATGTATATAGTCCTATCATTCCTCTGAGTTTAGCCCTCTCTAGCTGTACCAGTGAGATTGCCAGTCATGGTGAGGGTTGTTTTAGCCTACCCTTACTGGAACTAGCACCTCTAGAGTTAGGTGCTCTCTCTCTCTCTCTTCTCCTTTTGAGTTTTTTTTTATCAATTCTGTAATGGATGATTCTGTGTTTGTTTTTGTTATACTAAGGCTAGGGTAATAGCTTATACATATATGGTTCTCTTCTGGTCAGTTTGTTTGCTTTTTCATTTACCAAAATTCTTTTGTGCTCTGACCCCATGATGTCATCAGGTTGTTACATTTTTCCAGGTTTTAGAAATTTTGGATGCATTCACTGACTATTTGACTTTTTACGTGGTTATGCTTTAATAGCTCCTACGTTATCTGATCTTTTGAAAAATTTGTCGGTGTAATTTATTTTAAATTAATTTCTATCAGAGCATCCACACATTTTTGTCAAGTCATCGAGGTATTACATCTAAATGTACTTCAGCAACCTACAAATGGGAATTAGATATGCCCATGTTGTGTAGATGTTTTCTCAGATGCCAGTGACCGGTTAATCACTCCTATCACTCTATCCTCTATAATTCCTCTGAACTTGGCTCTCTAACTGTAGCTGTAAGTTGGTGAGGGTTGTGTTAGCATCAGTCCTCACCAACTCTCGATAGAAGATAGGAAGTTAGTGTCCGAATAGATCGAATTCACGATAGCTCAAGTGGTTGAGCAGCGGCGTATATAGCCGAAGATCATGGGTTCGAATCCCGCTCGTGACACTGACTTTTTTATCTCAACTAAAAACCTTAATTAATAGAAACTTGTTAATTAAATTTATCTTGAGGTTAAATAAAAACGTTTTATAATGTTTTTGACTAATTTGTGTTTTGCAGGTTCAAGGATCCATCCTGGATAGTGAATGCTTTCAACGTGGATCCCCTTTATTTAAAACACGACCAGCAGGGAGCCGCTCCTGATTACAGGGTAACTATCTTTAACAGAAATGTTTGTCCGCGGTGGATTTTCGAAAATTTTGTAATTAAATTAATTATTATTATCATCTAAGAATTGAATTTCACGAAAGGCGTAAATAACACACAGCGTAAATAAAGCAAAAAAACCTTAGATCTTATCGTGGAAAGAATATTAAATCTAGGGTTGATTGTTATTTACAAGGTCGAAATTTAATTAAGCTTATTATAATTCCGTTTTTATCGTCAGGCGAAAAGCCGAAATTTTCTCAAACATTAACTTTTGCTGGGAAAAAAATTAGATGCCTTAAAACTTTTTTTTTACACAATTGGCGAAGAACGAACAAACGTCTTTCCTTGCTCAGCAAACTCTTTCTCTAAGTCTTTTTCTCTTCGTGTTAACTCGTTACTTTCTTTTTGTAACTCCAGAGTTTTAACTCTTTTACGTTGTTCTTTAAAATAAGTCTCTTAAATGCAAAAGTAAAAGCGTTGATGACTGCTTAGTGTGGTTAATCTAAAGTTAACTAGGTTAACATATACTCCTCGGTTTGTATGCTTTGTATAGAATTTGAGTGACCTAAGTGATGGATAAAAAAGCGTTATTAGAATTAAGCAATGGATTAAAGATTGAGCTACCCATATTAAACGGAACAATAGGTCCTGATGTATTAAACATTAAGGATTTGTACAGGACAACAGGGTTAATGACATTATAATAAAGTGTATTGCAGAAATTTTTCAACCGGCACTCGGTCGCTTACTGGGTCCTTATGTTGATGTTATTCAAACCTGTTTCGGCTTTGCGCCCTCTTCAGTGAGGAAGTGCGGTCTCAGTGACACAAGCCAATCCCGAATATATTAGCAGACATTTTTGACAGCAGTTTGAACCTACTGGTCATTTAGGTCGCAGTATACTTCAGAGGCATGTGACAATAGCGGGATTAGGCGGATGAGGATGTAGAATCAAACTGAATTACCAAAATACTGGAATTTTGCAGTAAGCACTTAACGCGTATTACTCAGTTGACTGTTAAGGAAATTATCCAAATAAAGGTGCAAGAAACGTTGTAATCCAATTGATTAAGAAAAAATTGGAGAATGTTATACTAAGTAAAAATAAATAACTTTATAGTCGTATATTGGAAAGGAAGTCAGTTTTAACTGAATGTATGAGTTACACTAATTTCTAATCTGTCTATATGATCAGCACTGGCAAATTCCACTCGGACGTAGGTTCCGTTCGCTCAAACTCTGGTTCGTCATGAGACTGTACGGCGCTGATAACCTGAGAGACCACATCAGGAAGCAGATCAACCTGGCCCACCAGTTCGAAGAATACGTCCGTGCGGATCCTTCGTTCGAACTTTTCGGCGATGTCCTCATGGGACTGGTTTGCTTCCGAATCAAGGTGAAAATTGAGTTTTTTCATTCCAAAAGCGTCTCTCATACAAGTTTTCCCACGTTGCAGGGATCGAACGAGAAGAACGAAAAACTGCTTAAGATGATCAACGGAAACGGCAAGATACACATGGTGCCGTCCAAGATCAACGGTACCTACTTTCTGAGGATGGCCGTCTGTTCGAGGTACAGCGAGCCTCAAGACATAAAAGAGTCCTGGGAAGAGGTGAAAGCCATGGCGACACTGATGGAAAAGGAAGGTTGAAATAATATTTGCAATAAATTCGAGCCTTAGTGATATATAAAATCCAAAGTCGTTTAAAAATTAATGGACAATAAAATTATTGACAATAAACGGAATTTTCGTCGCTAAAGTTCGAATTTGTTGTTAACAGCTGAAGGATTCTCGGTCTTAGTTGAAACTGTCACCACTCTTCCTTACAACGAACATACTCATGATATTCATAATCGTAAAATATAATACTAACGTAAAATTTTCAAATGTCTAAAATGGAATTAAGCTGTTTTGATTCGTATAAGCCAATTTTGACAAATACCAACGGTAATTGCTTAATTATTTTCAATTGCAAAAATAACATAATACAATAATTGATTTGATTAAGGTACCATTATGAAATGATGACAGGTGCTGACCGAGAATCCCGGTGACTGCAACACGAAAATCAAAAAATCAACGAAAACCCGAGTATTATTTAAAAGTATTGACACAAATAATATATTAAATATCGCGTCATCGAATATAAAAATTTGATAATTAATGAAATATCAAAAATATATTTCAATGTTTTACTGTACAATTACTATAAGAATGTGAAAATGTAACATTATCAAGCTGTATGAGCGTATTTATTTTTCAAAAAAAAAAAATCGCAGACAATCCACGTTAATTTGATTTTGCGAAATCCCCGAAATCATTGTAAGAGATTTTCATTTTAGTTATAATCAAATGAGACCAAGGCTTGACGAGGACCAAAGCAGATTTGTAAATATTGTTAATGTTTGTATATTTTATCCAGTGGATATTTTCCTATCCGGCTTGTTTTACAAAGTGTTATAAATCATGATATTATATTATTATAAATTAATATATATATATATATATAAATGATATTGAAAAATGTACCATATTTATTGTTTAGTAAAACTATCCCTTCACACTATTCCTTTAAATCGGGGCTTCCCAAAACAGTGGTCCGCGGTCCCCTTGGGGGTCCACGGCGAACTTCGAGAAAAAATTAATATTTGCACAAATGAACGTAGTATGAATCAATAAAATTAAAAACTAATAACAATGCGTACTGAAACGAAAGTTTTTTTTTCGCAGCAGCAGTCATTGTGTATTTCATAGCCCATAGACATGCTTCAGCTATGAAACATATGCCAGCCAGTTTTAAGAAAGTTTTGGATGAGTCTGTTCAAATTGTTAATTATATCAAGTTGCGGCCATTGAAGCCAAGACTTTTCACTATACCTTGTGTTGAAATGGGAAGCCTTCATCCATGGTTTCGCCAAAAAAAATTAAAAAAATCTTTTTGAAAGTTGACATTCTCCGTATTTTAATGTTTTTTTATTTCGCCGTTTTACTTACTCAAATCAACTATGTCAATATATCATTTTACAGCATTTGTTTATGGAGATTTCAATAAAAATATAGTAAAAGCTATCCAAGTTCATAAATTTAACTATTTATTTTTCATGATATTAAAACAATTTTAAAAGATCTTAAGTAATGTCCATAATTATGTTGTTTTACAAAATGTTTTTACCAGATAAATAATCATTTTTTGGCTTTGTCAATAAAAATCATTTTTCATTGTTTTGAGATAATCACAAAATGTATTAATTTTTATTATAAAATTATCGTTTCTTCAAGACTTAAATGAAAATAACAATAAAAAATATTTCAAGAGTGCAATGAATTTACGGTTTTCAACTTTTTCTTCTTAAAATTTATATTATAAATTTCATACAATTACCTATTTATTTTTCATGAAATTAAAAAAGAAAATTTATTATTTTTAAATCTAAAAGATCTTAAGGTGTGTCCATATCTATGTGATTTTTCAAAAAAATTTTATCAGATAAATAATAATTTTATGGCTTTGTCAATAAAAATAATTCACTAGTTTTCGTTAATATCTTTCAATTAATTAAAGTTTTATTGTTAGTCAGTAATAAAAATAATGTTTTATTATTACAAGATAATAACAAAATGTAGTAATTTTTATTATAAAATTATCGTTTCTTCAAGACTTAAATAAAAATAACAATAAAAAATATTTCAAGAATACGATACGGTTTTAACTTTTTTTCATAAAATTTATATTATAAATTTCATTTAATTAACTTTATTTTTCATAAAATTAAAACAAAAATTTCAGTTATTAAATCTAAAAGGCGCAAGAATGGCACAAATACACAGAAGACAAACACTTTTAGCCCTGAAGATGATCTCAATAAGGATCGAAACGTTGGCACGACAAAGAAAATGTTTTTCTGAAACCTACATCACACCAGACCGCATCTCACGATTTCTGAATAATTTTACCAGATAAATAAATTAACCAGATAAAATCAATTTTATGGATTTGTCAATAAAAATAATGTTTTATTGTTTTAAGATAATTACAAAATGTAGTTATTATTATTATGGAAATATCGTTCTTTAAGTGTCAAAAAAGAAACATTTTTCATGATGACTATGATACAACTCATATTATTTATCTAATCCGAAGTTAAAAGTTATATATTTCAAAACGGTTTTGATAATTTTCAAGTCGAAAATGTTTTGAGATTTTATCTTTTTTCTCTCTTAAGTTTATAACGCATTTTTATAAGTTTACATTTGTTATTACCCAGATCTAAAAGTTATGTTTTTCAATTAGGTTTTTATCATTAGATTTTGACGGTTTTAAAGATTACAAATGATATAATTATTATTTTTTATTAACAAAATAACAACCTTTTTTTACAATTGCAATTACTAGTATTTTATGAGTACAATTATAATTACGATTCCCACGAGTTCGTACAGTAAAATTAAAACTTTGTATTTCTTTTTCCCATTATAAATAATTCCATTTTTTTAAATAACCAACATTCTAGATTTAAAATTTAATTTTATGAAAAATAAATAGTTAATTACATGAAATTTATAAAATACATTTTATGAAAAAAATGTAAAACCGTATCATTGTACTATTGAAATATTTTTTATTGTTATTTTTATTTAAGTCTTGAAGAAAGGATAATTTTATAATAAAAATTACTACATTTTGTTATTATCTTGAAATAATAAAACATTATTTTTATTACTGACTAATAATAAAACTTTAGTTAATTGAAAGATATTAATTGGTCAAGTGGACCACGAAAACTAGTGAATTATTTTTATTGACGAAGCCATAAAATTATTATTTATCTGATCAAATTTTTTTGAAAAACAACAGATATGGACACACCTTAAGACCTTTTAGATTTAAAAACAATGAAATTTTTGTTTTAATTTTATGAAAAATAAATAGTTAATTACATGAAATTTATAATATAAATTTTATGAAAAAAAGTTAAAACCGTGTCATTGTACTCTTGACATATTTTTTATTGTTATTTTTATTTAAGTCTTGAAGAAACGATAATTTTATAATAAAAATGACTACATTTTGTTATCTTGAAATAATAAAACATTATTTTTATTACTGACTAACAATAAAACTAATTAATTGGTCAAGTGGTCCACGAAAACTAGTGAATTATTTTTATTGACAACGCCATAAAATTATTATTTATCTGATAAAAGTTTTTTGAAAAACAACAGATATGGACACAACTTAAGATCTTTTAGATTTAAAAATAATTAATTTTCTTTTTTAATTTCATGAAAAATAAATAGGTAATTTTATGAAATTTATAATATAAATTTTATGAAAAAAAAAAGGTTGAAAACCGTAAATTCATTGCACTCTTGAAATATTTTTTATTGTTATTTTCGTTTGTCTTGAAGAAACGATAATTTTATAATAAAAATTAATACATTTTGTGATTATCTAAAACAATGAAAAATTATTTTTATTGATAAAGCCATAAAATTATTATTTATCTGGTAAAAACGTTTTGTAAAACAACGTAATTATGGACATTACTTATGATCTTTTAAAATTAAAAATAATAAAATTATTTGTTACTTTATTGTTTTAATATCATGAAAAATAAATAGTTAAATTTATGAACTTTGATAGCTTTTACTATATTTTTATTGAAATCTCCATAAACAAATGCTGTAAAATGATATATTGACATAGTTGATTTGAGTAAGTAAAACGGCGAAATAAAAAAACATTAAAATACGGAGAATGTCAACTTTCAAAAAGATTTTTTTAATTTTTCATTTTTTTGACGAAACCATGGATGAAGGCTTCCCATTTCAACACAAGGTATAGTGAAAAGTCTTGGCTTCAATGGCCGCAACTTGATATAATTAACAATTTGAACAGACTCATTCAAAAATTTCTTAAAACTGACTGGCATTTGTTTCATAGCTAAAGCATGTCTATGGGCTATGAAATACACAATTTCTGCTGCTGCGAAATAAAAACTTTCGTTTCAGTACGCATTGTTACTAGTTTTTAATTTTATTGATTCATACTACGTTCATTAGTGTTTTTTTTATGTGTAACTTGTGATGACCGTTGAATATAATTGTGGTGTTCATATAGGTGGTGATGGGAATATCGGTCAATGGTTGTTTTGGAAAGAAAACAACTTCGAATCTTTTCCGACGTTTCGATTTAATTCAAATCTTTATCAAATCATCCTGTACATATACAGGGTGAATTGCTACTCGTGCTACAAACTTCTCCAGTAGATTCTTCACCCTAAAATGAACAAAAAAGTTCATATTGTCCATGGTCCGATTCTCAACCATTTCAGAGTAATTTCGCTTTTTATCGATTTTGAAAGATATCACGTCCTGGCGTCGGAAAATCGTGATATCTTTTAATCTAAACATTTCTCTGAAAATCTAATAGCACCGTTGAAATTCCCGTTAATTTTTCAATAAGAAGATGACGGTGGCAAAATGTTTGGGCTAATTTTTTGTGTTTTATTTCAGCCAGAACTACAAAAAGAGTGGAAAATTGTGTAAATCGGAAAGTGTATAAAGTAATCCAGAGTTTCTAATTTTAGTCTCAGAAGGCAGCAAATTTGAGGAAAACTACCTGATTTAATAACGCTTCCAACGCACTCGTCATTTTCTTATTTAGTGGTTGTGAGACCAAGATGTTGATGACAAAAAGAGAAAAAATGGTGGTTCAAGGATTGCTAATGTTTGAGAGTGACTTGCTACTCGTGCTACAAACTTCACCAGTAGATTCTTGACCCTAAAATGAACAAAAAAGTTCATATTGACCATGGTCCGATTCTCAACCATTTCAGAGTAATTTCGCTTTTTATCGATTTTGAAAGATATCACGTCCTGGCGTCGGAAAATCGTGATATCTTTTAATCTAAACATTTCTCTTAAAATCTATAAGCACCGTTGAAATCCCCGTTAATTTTTCAATAAGAAGATGAAGGTGGCAAAACGTTTGGGTCTTTCTTCCTTGACCTTCTAGCTGTTTGTAAACTTCTTAAGCATTACATACTAAATGGGCATTAAATTAAATTAAAAAATTTCAATGGAATTATGATTTTGATTCTCTCTAAAAATTAACGGGGATTTCAACGGTGCTTATAGATTTTAAGAGAAATGTTTAGATTAAAAGATATCACGATTTTCCGACGCCAGGACGTGATATCTTTCAAAATCGATAAAAAGCGAAATTACTCTGAAATGGTTGAGAATCGGACCATGGACAATATGAACTTTT